AAAATTAATGTGTAAAATTAATACTAATCAATAATTAAAACTAATTAATAAATTGAAATCAATAATTAATGAATAATTTACAAAAGGTAAAGTAAAATTCGGTTTTAAAAAGAGCCCAATCAACCTTTTATTTTCAATCGAAACCCGACCCGACCTGGTCCCGGCCTTAAAAAAGCCCGGATCTTTGCCCGGACCAGATACGAAAAAACCCGGACGTTGTAGTGTGATCGGACCGGCCTACGGACAGAATCGAATCGTACTAGCGGCGATGGGATTCGTTTGCTTCCTTCTTCACCGGCGCTGCGGTGGCGTTTGCAGCCGGATTTTATTTTCTTCACAAGGATTACAATCATCACTCCATTGCTCAGCAGGTATTCCTTTCTCCTCCTCCTCATATATAATTTTGTGCTCAATGCTCTCGAATCATTCTTCATTTTCATTTATTAGTCGTTGGTACTGATCAGATTGTGTTCTATTAAGATGAAGGATCCAGATAAATTTTTTTCCCTGCATGATATATTTACAAATGCTAGTTTGATTCAATTCTTAATTACTTCAATGTACTACTTTGAGAGAATCCGTTCAATCCAATTTAATAGAAGTAGGATAACATTATTCCTACTGCATTAGATCTGACTATAATCACTTCCATGACATTTATATGGTTTGGAGATAATAATTTCATTGTCTGCTGTTGTTTGTCTTAAGGATTTTGGCTGAATTGATGGTAATTGGTAAGAGTATACTTCCTTTAATTCTGCGTTAAATGAATTGCCTCAAAGTAGTACATTGAAATAATTAAGACATGATGCAAGATGTAATTGAATGGATTCCCTCAAAGTAGCATTTGAAAATTGAAATTTCCACTCCTTTATATCATGCTAATAATCCCAGAGGTGAAATTTTTGATCTGGATTTTTCATCTTCATAAATCAAATTGAAGAATGATTCAAGAGCATTGAGCGCAAGAGTATCTTGTTTTCTTTTTTCTGCTGTTTGTATTAAGGATTTTTCGCTAAATTGAGACCCTTCCCTGTGATGGAGAGGGAGGTTACATACAATGGAATGAATATCTTAAGTAGAACATAATTTTTTCTTTCTAAATCATAATGTCACCGAATAACAAGAGCCCACAAGATAAAATTGTCAAACTACAAACCTAACAATGCAAAACCTTAACTAGTATTTAAACTGCGTTTAAAGCTCTACATAGAGTTTCGATATCCATGCATTTATACTAAATTAAGTAACCGAAGAACGTTGAAGAATAGCATAGCCTGAGACAATCACACAATTTAGTAATTTACAAATATTATCCTATCTATTTCCCGTATTTTTGTTCCACCAAGTTTGGTGGTACAAAAAGAATTCATTTTTGTCTCACTCAGTCATGGTCTAACATCGTGCCTAACATGGGACAACAAGTTTTTGTTTTGTCATGTCTCATTCTGTCCCACGTAGTTATCATCCATTATGTTCATTTCTTTGCATAATAGCCCGGTCATTTAAATATTGCATGATTAATTGGTTGTGTTCCTATTTGAGCTATGATTAATTGCATGATTTCATTTCATCTTGTTCTAAATGAATGCCTTTCTTTTAACGTTTTTTAGCAATCAAGTGTTCAGATAGATTGGTATCTTGGTCATCCCCTTGGATGTGTAATACCCTTTCAGGTCACATTTTCATATCTCCCTTTCCCCTTCTCTGAAACAATAATGGGTTCTTCAAAGTTGTAACAAGTTTGTTTCTATTATTGTCCAGATGAACGGCATTTACATATTTTTGATGGACGTATCTCTTCGTTGGAAAATTTCAAAGAAGTTGAAGCCACAGATCAGCTCAAAGCTACCGAATAAGAAATCATAGGTAGCTTTTCCATGAAGCTCCTCTTAACTAGTTTCTTTTTCTTCTATTCATCATCTTTCTTTCACACACTTTTCACAAGTCAGGGGTCTTCATAAAAACAACTGCTCTACTTTTTTTGGGAATAGAGGTTAAGTCTCCATGCATCTTACCCTGACCCCACCTCGAGGTGGGACATACTAGGTTAGTTTGGTTAGAATTTAGCAACTGCAGAAGGGTCTCTTCAAATGTCTGTGTGGCAAAGCTGACTCCATGAAATATACATTGGTGTTGAGTCACAGGTTTAATCAGGCGTGGCATATGTTTCAGCCTCCCAATGACTACTTGTTTGCGTTCCCATTTGAGACCTCCTCTCCTCAAATCTTTGGGTCCACCAGGTACCCTTCACTTTACTCCCATTAAATGTCAATTTTAGCCCTCATATGAGCCATGGTTTTCTGTTTGTGAATGTAAATGAGCAGGGGCACTTTTGTAAATTACACTAGAAAAAGGATAATTATATGTGTGGCCAATATTGAGACCATCTTACAGAACGCCATGGCTTTGAATTTAAACCTTTCTAGTTTCTCCCTATTTTACTCACACTTCAGGAAGAGTATTATCAGTTTCTGGCCGAATGCCGATGGTTGTTTACAGTTAACATCATTAAGTTTTTTCGTGAACGTAAATATTAACCGAATTCATGGTGGTTCTAAGCTCCCATGTTGTTCAATTTTCAACAACTAGCCTCCACGGACGTCCTTCCATGTTAAAATCCCACAATCACCGTGGCGGAAATTTCGTGCGGTGTGGGATAGCGGAGCCATCGGGACAACCGGCACCTATGGGGCAGAAGACAAAGTATAATGATGGGGTGTTGGAGAAGGTGTTTATGAGCTTATTTGCCAAGAAAATGGAGAAGTTTTCTGTGAAAGATAAGAAAGAAACAAAGGGTAAGAAGAAAGGATTGTTTGATTATGATTACGATAGCTTCGTGAATGTATCGAGGGGAGTAATGACAGGACGGAACCGTTTACAGCAGCAGGAAGTGGTGAGGGAGGTGCTTTTGTCCATGCTTCCTCCTGGTGCCCCTGATCAGGTAATCATCCCTTGTTTTCTTCCTTAAAATCGGTTTTATAACTAACCACTGCTTTAGAGGACTTAAGTTTATAGGATCAAAGAATTTTGCGTCCTATACAAAGGTGTTACAATAAGTATATAGGACTCTTTTAGGTGTTCTAACAAGTTTTTAAGGATTCTATTCGAAATAAACAGTTCTCTAAGTATATAGGCTGCATCAGGTACATGAGACTGGACAGGATGGGAAAAAACTCATTGTCCCTCGTTTGGAAAACATGGACGGAACAAATACTCATTGTTCCACATTTAGCGCGAAGGAAAAAAACTCAATAGTCTTTTTATACGACATTATTTGAAAAAATGTCTTATAAAAACAAGTGTTTCTATAGTGTTCATAGACCCTTCTTAAAAGTGTAATATAAAAAAACTAATAAGACACTTTATTTCTCTAAAAACTTGTTAGGATAATAAAATATGTCCTAACATCTCATTGTAACACCTTTATATAAGACGGACAGTTGTTTGGTCTTATAAATTAAATACTATAAAGCAGTCTATTAGGACATTTTATACATATTTGGCGTTCTATAGAGCTTTTTGTAGTGTCTGGTTGATTGATGTTCTATTAGAATATAAAGCTGATATTTAAACATATTTGATGTCCTAACATCCTATCATATCTTACACCCATACCTCACTTTCGGATGAGATATACTGTGTGAGTTTGGTTTGGTTTATTCACAAACTATTTGGGCAGTTTGAAGTTTAATGCATAAACTAAATGGCAATTTAATCTGCTGTTTTACTTGATGGCAGTTTAAGAAACTGTTTCCACCCACAAAATGGGCTGCAGAGTTCAATGCAGCCCTAACAGTCCCTTTCTTCCACTGGTTAGTTGGTCCTTCTGAGGTAACGATCAAATCTTTTATCCCGATTCGATGTATATATTGCTGTAAACATCGATAAATTAACTCACACGGGTTTCTTGAATTCGTGATCATGTTATAGGTTGTAGAAGTAGAAATAAACGGGGTAAAGCAAAGGAGCGGAGTACATATCAAGAAGTGCAGGTAGTTTGTAATTCAAATTGTTAAAGTCCCACGTCAGCTAGACACTACATAGAAACTCTCCCTCTCTCCACTACAGCAAAATCGGCTTTATATGACGTCAAATATATCTAAATGTCCTAATAGACCGTTTTATAGATTTTAAGTTTATTAATACAAATAATTGTACGTCTTATGTAAAGGTGTCACAGTGAGTTGATAGGATGCTTTTCGGCATCCTAATAAGTGTTATAAGACACTTGGGAAATAAAACGGCCTATTAGTATTTTTATATGACATTATTTGATAAAAGTTTCCCATAAAAAAAAGTGTTATAATATAAAGACATGTTCATAAGACACTTCTCAGTTCTCAAAAGTGTCCTATAAAAAAAACTAATCGTACATTTTATTTCATAAGTGTCTTAAAAAACTTGTTAGAACGTCTAAAAGCGTCGTATCAACTTATTGCAATGCTTTTACATAGATACACAATTGTTTGTTCATATAAAATTTAGACATATTTAACGTCTTGTAAAACCAATTTTGTTGTAATACTCTATAAGCGCTCTTTTAGAAAGAAAAAAAAAGGGGTTCCATGTATCGTATGAAACACAATTATGTATTAGAGTACACTTTATGTCGTGTGTAGGTACTTGGAGAACAGCGGTTGCGTAGGAATGTGTGTGAATATGTGTAAAATTCCTACCCAAGACTTCTTCACCAACGAATTCGGACTTCCATTGACCATGATCCCAAGTATCGATCTTCTCCGCTCATAATCCGAACGTCTCAACCCTTGCAGATGATCATTCATCTAAAAACAACAACATTTTCTTGTGTTTTGTTACAGATTTTGAAGATATGAGTTGTGAAATGGTGTACGGCCAACCTCCACCATCGTTCGAAGAGGATCCAGTGGCCAAACAACCATGTTTTGCCGACGTTTGTAAGTTCAGCACCATAGGTGGTTTCATTCACAAAACCGACCATTAGTACATTCTATACAGACCAATTAATTGAGATATTCATAGAAATGATAAGGGTTCATTTATTATGAACTGGATATTTCCGGGTCAGCTTACAGACACCGATTAATCCCCGGACGACCACGAATGACCTGAAGTCATCGCAGATGAATCTCCATGGCCAAAAGGCTTTAAACCCGGAGAAGATAAAACTCCATTACATCCCCTTAGACTTAACCATGGTTATATGAAGTGGTTTAATATGGTTTTGTTTATATGCAGGTTCTGTAGCAAACCCCAACTCCAGCATCTGCCCCAAATTACAAGCCTGATACAGTCTACATTTTTTTGGACACAATTATATGGTTTCATAGTTGTTTGGGCAAGGCTCCATTTTTTGAATTGTAGCTACAATTTCTACAGGTGATCAGTGAAATAAAAGGTTTGTTACAAATATTATTCGATAACGGTATTGATGTGGGTTTACGTTTTAAGTCATAACTGAAATTGCACCTTCAGAGGGGATTGATAAGATGCAGCTCGGTACACCTCATCAGTGGTGACATTCAATTAGAATTGATCCAGTGAAAGAAATATATTCTTACACCTCTTACCATAATTTCCATTTACATCGAAACCGAACCCTGTATGTAGCATATTAAAAGAAATATATTATTTTATTGATACCGGATCTAAGATAATTAAAAAGCCGAATTCGGTTCTAAATGGTTTCACGTAAAATGGGCAACTTTTTTGGAGTGTGCAAAAACGTTTTGTGTCATGTCTACTTTAATACGTTTTTCTTGTTTATTTTTCTTGAACCTAATTTCTGTTGTAAATTGGGATACAAACGAGAATGCGTCACGTATTCGCCATGATTCTATGATTCGTACATCTTTTATGAAGATTGATGTTGTAAAAAATTCACGTTCATTATTCATGATGAATGAAACACGTATCGCATCGTTGTTTGCGATTGAACTTTAACTAATAATTGAAATACATGTTAATAAAATAACATTATAAAAACCTTGAAATAATCGATTTTAGAATGGTGATAATTCCAATTTTTATAACAAAAATAATTATTTTTTTTATTATAATTAATTAATTTTATAAATATAATAAAAAGTCAATAAAACCTCACCGACGGTGTGAGATCCGAAACCAAATATATATATTTGTTAAACCGTCGTTATTCAGATTTCAACTCCGACCATTAAAATATCGATAGCTTTCCTCCAAAGGAACCAGAACCAGATCTGATTCAGATCTCCGACCAATGGCCGCCGCCGTTTCTTCCTTCTTCGGCATCCTCCTCCTCGCCTTCATCTCCGTCTCCTTCGCTGAAATTCGTTTCTCTGAGATCCGATCGGACCCCCGACCAATCATCCCCTTCGATGAATTTGGTTTCACTCACAATGGTAGACTCGAGCTCAACGTCTCCAAGCTCTCTTTCTCATCACCAGACCCTGATCTCTCCAAATTAGGTTTTTTCCTCTGCACGCGTGATTCATGGCTTCAGGTTCTTCAACAGATCGAAGACGCCGAGATCGCATGTGCACTTCAATCTCACATCATCCAAGAAGTTTACAACTTGAATTCTCTCGCCAAGTCTGCCACTGCTTTCAATCACTTTTATCTCCAATCGGATGCCGATCAATACACTCTTGTTTTTGCCAACTGTCTCCCTCAGCTCAAGGTCTCAATGGATGTCCGATCTGCTATGTACAATCTCGACGGCAAGTCCAAGACTCGCGATTACCTCTCTGCTGGAATAACCATCCTCCCAAGGGTTTATTTCTTGTTCTCTCTCATTTACTTCATTTTAGCAGCAGCTTGGGTTTACTTTTTGTACAAAAAGCGGTTGACTGTGTTTGGAATCCATTTCTTTATGCTTGCCGTCGTGATCCTGAAAGCATTGAATTTGTTATGCGAAGCTGAGGATAAGTCGTATATTAAGCGTACTGGTAGCGCTCATGGCTGGGATGTTCTGTTTTATATTTTCAGCTTCTTGAAAGGAATTACGTTGTTCACATTGATTGTATTGATCGGGACTGGATGGTCCTTCTTGAAACCATATCTTCAAGATAAAGAAAAGAAGGTTTTGATGATTGTGATCCCACTTCAGGTAGTTGCTAACATTGCTCAAGTTGTTATAGATGAATCAGGGCCATATGGGGAAGATTGGGTGACTTGGAAGCAGATTCTTTTGTTGGTCGATGTGGTCTGCTGTTGTGCTGTTCTATTCCCCATTGTATGGTCAATCAAGAATTTGAGAGAGGCAGCTAGAACAGATGGGAAAGCAGCTGTTAATTTGATGAAACTGACTCTCTTTAGACAGTATTATGTTGTGGTTATATGCTACATTTACTTCACCAGGGTTGTGGTTTATGCATTGGAGACCATCACTTCTTATAAGTATCTGTGGACTAGTGTGGTGGCTGCTGAACTTGCAACTCTTGCTTTCTATGTGTTTACTGGATACAATTTCAAGCCAGAGCCTCACAACCCTTACTTTGCTGTTGATGATGATGAGGAGGAAGCTGCATCTGAGCAATTGAAACTTGAAGATGAATTTGAACTGTGAGATCTACTTCAAAAGAGTTGATAGCTTCATTCCAGGTCTGTTTGAGGTAGGAGTCATCATACAAATGAAATTTTTTAGTTGAATGTGAAATCTGTTTCTATACTGTTTTGTGTATGGTGTATCTGCAACAATGATACAGTTTTGTAAGTAGTTGTGCCCCATTATATGCACCAAGTTTATGGAGTCTGTATCTGTCACCTTCTTTGTTGCGTTCATGATACAAGTTTTGTACTTCTTGAAGCATGTTAACTCTTTTTATTTGCTCGTTAAACTTGAAATCGATGTATCTAGTACTTCAATCTGAATAAACAAGTTGTCATTGGAGACGATTAAACATCTTCAAAAGCATGAAATCCACTAAAAAGGTAGTAGCTAAATTATGCAACTTGGATATGTTTGCATACAAAGAAGGTACCTTAAGAAAGTTGAAACCAATGGCATAGTGCCCACATGATGATCTTATTAAAAGTTTGTGTTTGTAGTTCTGTCTCACTTTTTCATAAGACTGTACAAGAATGTTTTAAACAAGGATAGATTGCTGATAAAGCTGTTTAAAGAGATGGTAACTCCTTCATCGTGGATGATAAACACCTTCTGTTGGCGTTTAGACTGCCGGTCACTTAGAAACGAAAGCCTAGCTCCAGCTAGTAAATAGCCTCTCTCCTTCCTTTGCTTCTTCATCTCTCTTGTCAAGGTCTACTACTCGAATATTCTTTGATATCCTGTTGTATGGTGGGTTGTGCCCAACTTATAAACTTTTTCTTTGGAAAAGGGTGATCCCATGCTTCGCCTAGACCAATCCCATGGAAAATTGCGACTCTAGCCTTCACCCACAACCCTGTGGTAAATCTCCCGCTGATCACAAGCGCATATGTAGAAGGCAGGATTTGAACCCGGGTTGATTTTGTCATCACCTTGTCCTTATCCACCATGCTACCACCCTTGTGGTGTAAGTTTTTGTTAGTTTGGTTTCTGATGAATGTTGGTTGCATCGTGGAACATAACCTTACACCTAGTATTTATTCTTTTTGTTGGCCGTTGTTTGATATGTTCTGTTGGAACCTCCTCTCTCTCTCTCTGTCTCTCTATAAGGGCACTTTTAGAAGAGAGATTCAAAAGGGTTCCACATATCCTCACGTGCTATTTGAGCCTAGGGACTCAACACACTATTTCGCTTCCGTTCTAGGGGGAACCATGTAGCATCGCTTGGGGGACATGTAGGAGTTCTACATCGGCTAGGCCCTGACCATTAAACCTATATATATGTATGAACTTCCTCTCTCTCTCTCTCTCTCTCTCTCTCTCTCTCAGAGGGCTCTTTTAGAAAAAAGGTTCAATGGGGTTTCATATATCATCACATTACCGCAACTTCTGATATGATTTTTAACTGCTATCTAACAAAATAAGCACCAAGGACAAAAACCAAATGTGTTGATGTTAAAAGTTCATTAGGGATTTTCCTGACTTTAATCTTCAGGGCCCTGACTCCCGTTGTATATTAATGTAAAATACAATGAATATAAAACATACCCAGAGTTATGGTCAAGTGAGCCGATAAATGCAGGAGGTACAAGCATATGATAACGATCTTGCTCATTATACGTCAAGTATGACGATTATGGACACTTGTATCGATAGTGTCCTCAAACCTACTGCTTTTGAATTAGTACGTCCTTCTCTTATTTGTGGTGTTAGTTTCTCACACATTTTTGTTGTCCTAGAATCTGTTTGGCCTTTTTCTTGTCGATCCCACCATACATCCTTTTATAACCGCAAACAGCATGTGGGATGTTATTTCAAAGGCATGATTACGACTTACAGCCACTTAACGAAGGATGGTTTTGTGAACGCAGATGTACAGAATTGCGAGATCTCCTGAGAAGTGTGGTCTTTCCTACTTTCTGTTTGGATTTAGAGATGCGGTTTCAGCAAAACGACCAATTGAGGTGAAATCGTATGGTGTAAAAAGGTTTCCTTCCGAGAGAGAACAATAAATCCAAGATAAGAGGAAGAGGAATTATTGTTACAAATTATAGATGTTCTTTGGCTATATTCATGCTTCAAATTGCTGATTACAAATTGGTTGGTGCAGAATCATATGACATTGCTGTTTGTCTTGTATACAGGCCGAGTTTAATCTTAAGTATTAAGAGTTTTTTAAGTCGATGATCACAAGGACTTGCAGAAAATCTAAATCTGAACCCATTATATGATAAATACTAAACCATAGGGGTGGTGCCTGGTTGGTTTGAACTTGGCTCCAAATGTCAAAAGTATCTGAAGGTCCAAAGTTCAAATCCAAAGAGGAATAAAAATCCCCTTGTGGCCACGGAGGTTCAAATACGATGACTTCGGGCTATCTGCAAAGCAGGTGATCGTCTTGGAATTAGTCGGCTCGCATAACAGGTTGGATATCCAGGTTAATTAAAAAAAATACTACACAAAGGTAACCAAAATCAAAATGAAGACTCGATGGTGAGATCAGAAACTCTTGGATGTAGGACCAAAATCAAATTATGTTGAAAAATGGTAAAATAACTATCATGTATTTCTATTTAAACGAAAATAAAGGGTCGTTGGCACTCTCTTTTTTAGGGTTATAAATGAATCGAACGAGTATAAACAAAGACTTGTTTGTGTTCGTTCATTTAACTTAACCAAATAAATAAACCAACAACCTTTTTTGTGTTTATGTTTATTCATTAAGATACTAAACGAACATAAATGAACGAATACGAGTGAATAAAAAAATAACCACAATTACTCATCATTTCGTTCATTTAAGATAACAAAACAAAATGTAAAACCGTGTAAACTTAGGACTTAGGAGGGATAAAAAAAGAACTCGAAAAAATTTAATTTAGTTATTGATTTTACACATTAATGTCATGATATATAAATATATTTATATGTATAAACGAACATGAAAGAATATTAACAAACATAAATGAACGAACATTTAAGAATATAAAATTAACGAACGTAAATGAACGAATAAGGTCATTGTTTATGTTCGTTCATTGAACTAAATGAACAAAGTCATTGTTTGTCAAAAATAAGGTAGCTTATTTTCTGATTACACGTTTGGATACATTAAACTAGCTTATTGAAAAACTATTTGGAGTAGCATTTTGAGAGTATTGTCATTTTTTTTTCAACTATAACTCTCGTTAATATCAATTATTACTATTAATTATAAATAAATATTAATTAATATAAATTAAAAATTAATTATTATTTATTTACAAAAGTTATTAATCATATCAATTATTTTCTAATTATTATTCAATATATTTATTTACCAAAAAACAAATATAATAATTCTAAAAATGTGGATGTAAAATAAAAATTAAAGTTATACTTATTTATTTCATGGATAATAAAATTGTATTAAATAATTTTAATAAAATATTTAATTTAATTATTACTCTCTCTCTATATATATATATATATATGTAAAAATAATCAATTTAAAATTTTTTTAATTAATATTTTTTTCTAATTTTTTACCATTTTATTTGTATTAATTAATATATTATATTAGTGAAAATTTATTTTCAATTATATTTTGAACTATTATAATTGATTAATCTTTCAAAAAATATATATATATATATATATATTTTGATCAGTTTACATGTTTATCAGCTAGTTTTTGTCAAACATTATTTGTTAATCAGCTAGTTTATAAGTTAACAGGTAGCTTATCAGCTAGTTTGTCAAACATAACCGAAAAATATGTTCATGTTATTTATTTGTTAAGTAAACAAATGTTCCATCGATCGATTTCGTCTTTCAAAATTCTCATAACTAAATATTCGAAGATATAAAAAAATCTAATTACTATCAATGGAATTATCTGAATATAAAAAAAACAATGCAAAAGAAAAACTAGGAATCTTGATGCCAAAGCAGGTGTGCCGATGGACAAGTGGTTAAATCATTGCAATTTCAATGATATAAATTATGTGCCATGTTTCAATTTAAATATCAATATTATAAGAAATATGTATATTTTAATACTTAATATTATATGACGTAAATAACATGGCTTCACTTATAAACAATGTAATTATGTTCATTAATATTTTAACAATGTTCACATATATTCACAAAAGTTCACTTGACTATTCCAAATTTTTATATATTAACAGACAATAAACATTGTACACTTATGGAAATATGTTCATCGGTGATTTCGTAATATTTTCCTCCATACCGTTCATATCATCCGAAACGACATTAACAATACGCTTCAAAAACGTTTTATGTGATTTGTTCACTTGGATTAACAATTTACCCATTGTGTATATTAATATTCACATTTTCAAAAATGTTTACTTGTGGTTTGTTCATTCAGATTAATTTTATTTATTGATAATACATTGTGTAATTTGAATAAATGATCATAATCCCAACAATCAAACAACTATTAAATTGTAAAAAATCATTAATTAATGCAAAATGTAACTTACAAATGTATTTGTGGAAAACATCATGACATATAAACACTATATGGTTATTAACACAATCTTATGAATGTTTTGTGGTTATGAACAATTCTTATGAGCACAATTTTATGAATACCTTATGGTTATAAACTCATTCTTATTAACAACTATGAATATCATTAAATACAATAAAAGTAACTTATACATAAGAAACTGTAACATCTCATTAAATATCATAAAGTAACTTACATATAGAAATTATCTATTTGTCATTCATCATTAAATCAAACATTTGAAGTAACCTTTACTAAGGAATGAATCTTATTGGTTCAATAAGTTAACACAATATTATTGGTTAACAAAAGATCTTACTCCCTCTCTCTCTCTCTCTCTCTCTCTCTATATATATATATATATATATAACATAAACAAAGTAAATTACATGTTTGGTCCCTGTATTTTCTAATAGAAAATAAAAAATAAGTTAAATGATTAGATTACCCCTCTAAACTAACCGAGTTAAAAGGCTAACTTGGACGGAGTTAGAGCAAGGGATCCAATGTGTTATGTCAAAAACCATAGGGATGTAATTCATAAATATTTTAAAACAGAGAAGAAAGTGTTAAAACACATAAACATATGCACAAACCATGTAATTTACTCTAAGAATTATTACATTATTTCCATAACTAATCAGTAAACGCATTTCAATTACGAAATGAGTTAAAAATTATTATTATTATACAATAAAAATATAAATACCTAAATCTCAAACTTAAATAACCATGTTGTAACAATGAAAACCTAACGCAAAATATAAAGTCAATAAATAATGTTACATTAAACTTAATTATTTACAGCGTCTGATAAAAATAATACAAACATAAGTTTGGTGTAAAAATTGATTTTTTTTAGATTAATTATTTGCCAAATTATGTTTTAATTTTTTTAAAAACTTTCAATTTTGTTCTCTAATTTTTTACGGACATCGTTTTTGAATTTTAAAAACTCGGATATGACCCCTTATATTCGTCAATTTTCCATTGTTTTAGTCATTCTATCTAATGGTCGTTAATTTTCTCCTTTAAATCTAATTGAATGAGAGGTATTTTAGTCATTTTCATTAATTTTTATTCCATTAAAATAAGAGAGACGATATTATATTTTTAATTTAAAGATGTAAAAAAAAGAGAAAAATGAAAGGTGGTAGTTTTTCTTTTATTTGTTTTGCAATTTAAAATTAAAAATATAATATGTTTTTTTAACTACAATATAAATTATTAAAAATACCTTTAATTTAATTGGAGTTAATGAGAAAAAGTTAACGATCGTTAAATAAAGACATCAAAACCGTTGGGAATTGACAACGTAAGGGATCAAATCGAAGTTTTTTTGAAGTTTAGGGACCATATCCATTGAAAACTGCAAGCGTTAGGTACCAAAATTGAACTTTACTCAAATTTATGTATTAAACTTATGATTTATTTACCAAATGTTTACCTCACGTCACTTGTCTTAGCCAGTAAGCATGACAAACACCAATAATCTTAACTATTATGAGACATATACCAACGACCATTGATCTTTTCCGATAAATGAGAGAAAAGACTCTTAGGGGTTGTTTGTTTACCTCTTAATAGTTTCATTAAAAGGCAACATCTGAATCGTTACGAGGTGAATCTTGTTTGACAAAAAAAAACATGTCTCTTAATGGTTCTAAAACCCTCTGAATGATTTTGTATCCATGATTTTCCTTAACCATTAAGAATCCTAATTTTATTGTACACAATTACCAAACAATCATATTATCATTTTGCACTATATCATATGAGAGTCTCTTAATCATTCTGACCACTTAATCATTTTGTATCAAACCATTCAACAATTGCCAAACAACCCCTTAACAAGCACTTTACGAATAAAATATATTCACCAAACAATCAATTTTGATGTATGAAAATGTTACAAGAGTAATATCGTCGTTAAATGCTTACTGTGGTAAATATTTAGTAAACAGTTTTAATATCCGTAAAAAAACCGAAAGATGATTCTTGTACATTTAAAATTAACCGAATGAAAAAATATTTGTTCTTATCTAACATACGGAAAAGGACGACTGAGATCGCCATCGATACACGATTTATTGAAAAAGGGAAAGAAAGAAAGGGGGGACCAAAGTTTGGAGTTTGTGTTTGTTGGTTTCTCCCTCTTTCGAATGTTGGAAGCATGGGAAGCAAACAATTCCCAAACTTTATTATCTTTCTCGATTTCATTTTATTTTTGTTAACGGTGGGCGTTTTGGTAATCTTACGCATATTTTAACTGATTACAAGAGTCCTACAAAACAATTAGGAAAATCTTCAATGACTTTGTAGAACTTTGAAATGTGTGCTTAGTATCAAGACATGACATGACAAGACAAGACAAGACAAAACAAGACGTAACAACTGTTTAACGTTTGGTAAGATAAAACTTGACAGTATAGAACAAATAAAATGACCAATTTGTCCCTGATGACTTATTTATATATTTTGATTGACTATGTAATTTATTAAATTATAATAAATTAAATATTTTGTATAACTAAATATATCATTAGAAAGTTTCCGTCAAAATGACCCAAAATAAAAAGTTTATGTAGTTTCTAATTTTTATTTATATATTTATATATTGTTCTTTATTTAATAATAATAATAAATTATATAAATTAATCAAAATATAAACATCGTATGAAAATAATATTTTGGAGATAATAAAATAAATTTTTGAAAAAACATAAAAATATAAAATGTAAAGAGAAAGATGTATTTGACATTTTAAAAGAGAATTAAGTTTTATTTTAAAGTTATATTAATAAAATATAGGTATGTTTCACCTTGATCGTGGAACACAGCTCTTCCATTTTATTCCTGTTTATCACATATAAAAAAAATATCAAACGTAAAACAATGATCCATGTTTTGTGGTCGCACCAAACTCACCTAAACCAAGGAATTATAGGGGTGTTTGAGATTGCTTATTTGAAACAACTTATGTTTTTTTACAAAAACACTTATCAACTTATTATAAGTTAGAAATGTTTAACTTTTTCAAAAACTTCTTATTATCGGTTTGGTACCGATATAAGTTGTTTATTCAAACACTCAAAAGTACTATTTATCGGTACCACATTGGAATAAATCAATAAGTTATTTTTATAAGTAATTTCAAACACGTATTTGTGAGAGTAGAATACCTCCAAACACAAAGACTTATTAACGGTGGAGGTAAGTGTAGAGTTTCATTTCTTCTACAAATACATTTGGCTTTGATATCTATCTTTCTTCACAAATGGGGAATGAAAATGGAATCACTGGCAGTCGCCTCTATAATATGTCTGGTAGCGGTGGTGATGTTCAGTCACCGACGCCATTAGAGTGTGATGTTGGTCTGGGTTTAAACACCGAACCAGCTTACCCTTATAAAAAGACAAGCTTTATGTCTCATCACCAAAACCGCCATTATCATCATCCCCAAGCTTCTGAATACGCTGGTGTTTACAGTAACACTAATCGAATTGCTTCTGGGTTTCCTTTCAAATCCACTACAGGTGCTTAAAGTTGCAATTTCTTCTTCTTCTTCTTCTTATTATTATTAGTGTAAACTAGCGAGTGAATCTTGTGAAATAACAGGTTCAAGCACAGTTGGAGTTATGGCAGCTTCTGGAAAACTGCTTTTTACTGCAACTCAATGGCAAGAGCTTGAAAGGCAGACAATGATCTTCAAGTACATGATGGCTTCCATCCCTGTTCCTCCTCAGCTTCTCTTACCCTTATCCACTCAATCCAACAGTACTTTCTTTCTCTTTTCTCCCAATGCCTTCCAACTGTTTGATTATATGTTTGTTTATATCCTGCAAAGTCTTTATATTAAAAAAAAGGAGGTCCCTTTCTATTTGATCTCTTGTACTGTTTACCAATAATATAATTATTAATACCCTTCAAATGTTAAGAATTTAATACTAGTATTTTGGGGTTTATGAAGCCCCACCTCCATTAAAATAGAAATAATTTCTCCAGATTCCTGATCACCAAATTGATTGATTCAAAATCTGACATTTGGGTTTGGTAGGGGGAGGTATGGGTTTGAAATTCTCAAACGGGTCGGATCCGGAGCCATGGAGGTGTAGGAGAACAGATGGGAAGAAATGGAGATGTTCTAAAGATGTTGCCCCTGACCAGAAGTACTGCGAACGCCACGCCCACAAAACTAGACCCCGTTCAAGAAAGCCTGTGGAAATCCAACCCCACAACAACAAAGAAGATTACCATCCACTTCTCCTATCTTCACATGTGAATAATATAAAAAATTATAAGAATCCCAGGTGAGTTTTATCTGTATAATTGTTCTTATCATCAAATCTGTCAAATGGGTGTTTTTGATTTTGGTGTATATCTGTGTGATCTTGATTCTTGCAGTGATTGGTTCATGAGAAATGGCACTATCCCTGTGTCTAAATCAGAAAGCGATCAGATATTTAAACCAGATTTTAAGGGAAATTTTCAGCATAAATCCTATTTGGATCATAATCTAAACACTTCTGGTACCAGTACTGCTGCCAGTGATGCGGCGGCAGGCGCAAGGCGGCAAGACTTCATTGATTCTTGGTCAGGAATTGGAAATGGAGACGATTGTTCTCTAAGTTTGTCGATGCAATCTGGTGGGAACGGGATGAAATTTGAGGATGATGAGAGTTTTCAAATGGGTGTTGGAATGTTGGATGGTGATACGGGCGGGTGTGGGGATGTTTTCAGATCACACCACCACCAGTGGCTGAACCAACCCTCTTGGGCAGGTTCAACACCTGGTGGACCATTAGGTGAAGTGTTGTGCCTGGGAATTGCGAGTACCACAAATATGGCTCCTAATGTGCCATCTCCTCATGGCTATAGCAACAACACGACTACGAGCAGCTCGTGTGAGGGTGGTGATGTTCAGGGCCATGGTTTCAATAGGTGAACTCATGATCACTAAAAAGAATCAGATTTATAGGATGCCATGTATGTTGAGATGTTCTAAATTACTGTTTTGTAAGACTTAATTTATAGAACCAAACAACTGTACGTATATAGATGTTACAGTAATTTCATAGGACAACTTTTGGGCATCCTAATAAGTTTTTTCAGAACAATTTTGAAATAAAATATCATGTTAGTCTTTTTATATGATATTATTTGAAAATAAAAAGTGTTCTGTGAAAGAAAATGCTGATAAGATACTTTTATTTCAAATGTGTCATAAAAAACTTGTTAAGATACCCATACATGAACTAACATTTTATTGTAACACCCTAATATATGATGCATAACTGTTTGATTCTATAAACTTAAGTTATATATAACAGTCTATTAGGAAATTTAGACATATTTAGCATGCTATAAAGCCGATTTTGTTGTTGGATGATTGTGGAGAAGTTTACCGACAATGTTTGACTCTACTTCCACCTGGTTTTCGATACGGACCCGATGATTGTCATTTTTTCATTTGGTTCATTACTTCGCTTTGGTAACCACTTTGATTCGCGTTAATGTAATAGCAAATCACTATTTACCAATTAATGTTATTGATATATCAAATGTTTTATAAGACTTAAGTTTATAGTAGTTACCATAATCATTATGGTGTATGACAACAGTAAGAATATGTGGAACCCCGTTAGATTACTCTCGTAAACCTCAAGAAATTGATGAGAATTGGGTCAAGTTTAGCTTATGTGGGACTCTTAACATCAACCAAGGTCGTCTCACCTTCGCCACTTTCTCAGGTCAGTAGTAGAACACGGTGAAATCTCTCCGTCTGTACTATCTGCATAATCTGACCGTCGATTTACTTGAACACTCTTGAAGCTGGGGCTTCTCGAGTTGTGGCCATAACCACGATAACGAGCGATATAATCGTGAGACATGTCTTGAACCGAATAGGATAGTCTTTTCTTCGCAGACCCCATTTGTTCCCTTTCTGGTCTTGGTGAGTTTTGTGGCCGGATTTTGGCTTTAGCCGACTCTGTTGCAGCCATGTAGCTCGGTGTTGCTCGTAAGTAGTTTCTGTTTTCTTTTCTGCACCGTGGACTTGCTGATTGAACCAGTAACGGTTCGATCTTGATTGGAGATGGTGTGACCGATTGTGGACCTACGGAAGGACTGTAGCTTGATCTTCGGCTCGTGGGCGTTCCCGATTGCTTGGCTTCCATCCATCGAGCTAGCCAATTAGCTCGTTCTTGAAGCTCTTTTATATCTCGTGATAGAACAGCTTCTTTTCGAGTTTGCAAAACGGGATCGAGTTGTTCGAGAGTGTAATCTTCATATGGGTTGCAGGACTCATGGGTGGAGCTTTGTGAAATCAGATGGTTCAACAACGGTGGTTGGAGTCTGGATGGTTTAATGTTTAGGCGAGACTGAACACGGAGGAGGGTCTGAATGCATTTGAAAGTGATGGCTGTTTGATTTCTTACAATCTGACCTCTGATCAAAGATTGAAGCATCACTATCCCCTTCAGTGCTCGTGATGCTCTTCTTGCCTTGCACCACAAAATAATTTCAAATTAATCCCAAAAAAATCGATTTATAGTACGGTAAATATGTCTAGGAGACTGTTTGACATTTGCTGAATGGTTTGGTGCAGAATGATTAAGTGGTCATAATGATTAAGAGGCTCACATGATATAGTGCAAAATTAAATATAATTGTTTGGTAATTGTGTACGATAAAATTATGGCTCTTAATGGTTAAGGGAGATCCGAGATACAAAATCATTCAGATAGTTTTAAAACCGTTAAGAAGGCAGACTTTTTTTTTGCCAAACAAGATTCATGGCTTAACGATTCAGACATCGCCTCTAATGGAACTATTAAAAGGTTAAATGATTGATATTACTATATAAGTAATAGTAGTAAATATATATAGTTGGTTGTTTAATGCAAGTTGTAAAGCTAAAGGTGCTGGATTAATTAATTACCAGATAGGCTCTGAAGGAGGTCTGAATGAGGGTGGCAGCAAAATGTTGTTTGATAGAAGTGGAATGCTGAATTGATGTTTTCTCCTCCTGATCCAGATCCAATGATGGAGTTGGGATGTTTGATGATCTTCGGAACAACCATCTTCTCTTCTGCAACAAAAAGATGCTATATGTTGTTAAACATATATACATACATATACATATATTTATATATATGAGAAAAGTGATGGTGGTTTGGGGTTATATAAAGATTACATACTAGCTTTTCTTGAAGATGGTCTTTGATGGTGGTGGGTGGTGGTGGTTTAGTGGGAGACCTGAATGCTTTCTTGACTGCTGTAAACCATGAACCACCCCCTTTCTTCCCCATAGACACAGAGAGAAATGGAAGATGTATATATATATATATATATGTGTGTGTGTATATATTATATATAGAGAGAGAGAGAGACTTAACCCACACCCACCGTTACCTGCCACCACTACCACCCTTTGGATTACTCTTCAACATATATGTCTAACACCATCCAGCTCTTCTACGTTATTACTTACATATACATATATATATATATATATAGATATATATATATATATATATCACGTGTTAAGTTAAGTAGTGTAGTAGTACTCCCATGGCTGTCCATCTCTATATAGCTTGTCTCGAAAACCGCCACCGGAAAAGGGGAATCCCCCGCCCTGGACTCGGTCAAACCTCTACACTTCTCGATTTAAAAATGAGTTTTTGGGATTAAAATATATGGATTTTAATATTTAAAATAATTAATTCGTTAGACATTCTTATAGAACAAATAAGTTATTGGATATTATAAAAAAATTTAGAGAAATTTTTACTTTCTAAAACCTATTAGATACATTTTTATGCTTTATAAAACTGGTTAATGTAGAGATGTGGTAGATTAATGGAGAAAGTCCGAAAAAACCTAACGGACTTTCATATTTTTAAATGAAAAGGATGCTTACAAATATACTATTCTAATTACTCTTTGCAAAACATACAAAAAATGTGTTCAAAGCGTAAATAATTTGTATATAAAAATTGGGTATAATTTATCAAAAGTCGAACCAAAAGTTGCGATAGAAAATACAAAATAATTATGCCAGATATACCAAAAATTGCGCCAAACTATCCCAAAAGTTGCGTCAAAATATACCAAAAATTGCGCTAAACTATACCAAGTAACGCCTAATCTATATTAAGGTTGTGGCTTTCTTGTAACCCTTCTTGATGTCTAACCACATCCTCACTTTTATAATGTTCTTCATCGCCAACAAAAGTCTCACCTTCATCACGGTCTTCATCATTAACAAATGTCTCACTTGAAAGTGAATACGGTAGGATGCCTTTGGGCCATGGTGGTTGTGGCACATTTGATGATGTATTTAATGATGAAGATAAAGTGTAAGAGTAAGCAATAGTCAATAAAAATGTCATTTGAATCTGAAAAATAAATAATGGCTTACCCCAATTATTGCTTCTCCTATGATTGGATTATAAGAAACAATTATATATGATGGTATCCTCTCACCTCTATTGTTTCTTCTATCTCTATTGCATCTTCCACCTTTATTGTCTCTTCTTGTTGTAATCGGTTTTGGAATGTAGGCTATTGGTCTACATTTTGGTTTAACAGGTTTAGGTGGTGGGTCCTTCTTTTCATTCTTACAAGTCCTTGCATTATCCTCTGTTTCCAAGCAATTGTTACATGTCATTTCCTTCCCAGATTGAGTCACTCTTGTACTTGGGCTCTCATATTTTGATGTTTTTCTTTTAATAGATGGTCTGTCGGGCATTTCTCTCTCCTTAGGTGCGTTTGGTTTGGTGTAAGGTGTTGGAGTCCACATGTTGCTCCCATTCAATGGTCTTATAGTATTCTCGTAGGCGATTTTGAAGAGATCCTTAGTAAACCATTTACTGACATAATCCTTTGGATCCTTAGATAAAGTGTATGACAGCTATGGAATGCACACAAGGAATGTCTGATATGTCCCACAGTCTACACTTGCATTTTCTAGCATCTAAATCAACCACCATTGTTTCATAACCGTTTCGTGTTTCAAGCATCTTCCCACCACTATAGGAATAACATACCAATATCTACACATGAAAAAGAATACATGAGCATACAAGATCATATTACCATCATAAACAAACATACATAATAAAATTACCATAAAGATAAGCATACCTATGATTTCTCCCCATTTCTTTAATTTTTTCCTTTATGGTTGGACAAACAGTTGATTCCTATTGCTTAAGATTCTGTAATGCCTCTCCATAACAAATATCCTTATCTCCTCTAACATTTGATTATGAGTTTTCTTCTTGCATCAACAATTATTGAGTTAAATGACTTGAAAATCCCATTTTCCACAGCTTCACAAGCTCTACCAGGTTGAAAAAAAATGCCCTACACCATGTATTAGGGTCTCCTTCATATATGCATCAAGATTTAGTATCTTAAACTTTTCCATGTGTGACATGAAATTTGCTTCAAATGTAGATGTAATTGCTGCCCAAATAATGTTTCTATACTCAACACCATTAAACCTTTTATGAAAATTAGTATATACGTGTCTTGCACATTGCCTATGCTCTGCATATGGTGACTAAGTATTTACGCTTCAACAATGCCCTATTGCATTGAAAGAATGATAGAGCATAAACTTGTATATTGACATAAATCATATACTTGTTAATGTTAACAAAATGCATACCTTGTGTTAATGATGCATACCCAATAGGTATGTACATCCAAACTATGCTTGTTATATTATTGCCAAGTGTTCTTATTATTAGTTTAACCACTTACAATGTTGAATGCTTATGTAGCTTGGGCTGTAGTAAATGTGGAGAACAAAGAGAATTGGAAGTGGTTCATTGAACTTGTAATAGAAAATATTGGTGTTGTCGAATGAGCATGGATTTAAAAAACAATAGCCGGTATTAACTCTCCTTTACACACCAGCTTTAAAAAACAACCGCCTAGTCTTATAACTTTCCTACATCCACTAATCCACCCACCTCTCAGTGCTTTGAAATATACATAAAATCTCCTAAATTCATTACTTCCATCTGCCATTATATTTACGTCCATCTTATCTGTAGATCTTGAATTGGCCCTCCTAATTTCATGTCCATAATCCCAAAGCTTTATATATTGTTCTGTCAAATAATCTTCAATTTCAAGAAGTGCCCTAGGCTTGGCTCGGATGCATTGGCCCTTGCTAACTTCGACCATAAACTTCTTCAAAATATCATCTTGCATATCTTTAATTTTTATGAATGATCTTTCGATGAGTTTTTTGACATAATGCTTTGCAATCCAATTTCGTTTCACTAGGGATCCAAAACTATAGTCTTTACTATATATATGCTTACAATTAATGGTTTTAATCTAAAATGACTTTTCTTCTTGCATCCACGATGCTCATAATCTACAAGGACAAGTTTGCTCTTTCTGATATTTTCCACTTGTAACAAGTAGTCTCTCTAAATCATTTTTTACATACTCTAGTTGGTAGCCATTTGTCACCGCATAGTTTGTCAAATACTGCTTTTAATTGACCAAGATTCTCATAATGGAGAAACTAGAAAAGAGAGATACTGAAATTCTCCGAATTTGGAGAACTCTCCAGAAAATCATTTTTCCCACCAATAAGAATTCTTAAAATTAATTGTAATTCTTTTTTTTGGAGATTTTGATTTTGATTCTCCGTTTAAAGAATTTGGTGGAGATGATGAGAATCAAATCAAAATCTTTAATGAAAATTTATGTTCATTTTCAACAGATTCTCTATTTTAGTGTTTACAATATAAATTATATTATTATATTATTTAATACATTTTATAAATAGTATTTCTCTCATATACATTTAATTTTAAAGATTCTAAAATATAAAAATAATTTACTTTTCATAAGTAGTCATATTTAAAGAGTTCTCTAAATTTAGAGAATTTCACTGTCTCTCCTACTTTCACCATTTTGGAAAAAGTTTTATGAAATCCATTGGAGCAAAAATCCCTAAATTCTCATATATTTAAAGATTCTGTTGTAGATGCTTTAAAAGCATCCACAATGGAGGTTTTGTTGAGTTTCTTGTTGAGGTTTTTATAAGAATCTTTATTGTGAGACAGATGTTTTATCTATTCATAGATTCATATTAGAACACAGGTGTTTGAATAAGAACACATATTCTTGTACATTTCATTTTTGTTATCTTTTTTATTTATTATTTTTATTGTTTTCTTAAATATTTTATTTTATTTTAATAAATCTATAAAACATATAAGTTAAGAACGATACAAAAAATATATAAATTAATGGAAAATTTATTAAAATAGCCATTTTCAGAGTTGGTTTCACCTCTTAGCCATTTTCTCTCCAAGTTTACCAAAATAGTCACAGGCCCGCAAAAACTCACGTCCGCAATTGCGACTTAGCTAAACGACAATTTTTTAACACTTTCTACCCCTGTCTATAAAAAAATTACATTTTTTCACCCAGGTCCATATAAAAAATTTAAAATTGTGTACCTAGGCTATTTCGGTAAACCTTGTAAAGAAATAACTAAGAGGTGAAACCAACAGGTAAAAATGGTTATTTTAATAATTTCTCTAAATTAATTTTTAAAAATATTTTTTTTAATTTTGTTTTATTTTCCATTTCTTATAAATTATTATACAAATTGTTGTATCAATAAGTTTAATTATCTCATTATATTATTA